GAACCCAAGCAACCTGAGCCTGACTGTTTTGTTGAAGCAGCCACTTAAAGAACTGAGCTACCGGGCAGGCCCCCAATCCCACAATTCTGAGTCTGAGGCAAGAGGACTTCAAGTTAGAGCCTACCCCCCACCCCACCCCCCGCAATGTAGAGACTCTGTCTCAAATTATTAAAAAATTAAAAGGGGCTAGGGGTATAGTGCAGTGCAAAGGCCCTGGGTACCGAGCTTCTGCAGATTTGTGATTCTTGGGACTTTTTGATGTAAGAAACACATCTTTATGTACATTCCTCCACATTGATTTTTCCAGCATTCATCTGCCATATGCCCTTAGGAATTTTTAAATAGCAAATTCGGCACTCTTGGCCAGCCAATTACCTCAGCAGATTAAAGCCCCTGCTTAGGCAGACACAGGGGCCAGGGCTTTGATCCCCAGCCCCTCATGCCTGCCCTGCCCCCAGGGTATGCTATGCTACCCTGTCCCCAGGGCACACTGAGATTGGCAAGAGACTGGGCGTGCTGGCATGCCTGTAAATCCAGCATTGGGAGGCTGAAAAACAGTAGGATCACTACAAGTCTGATCTGTGTAGTGAAGAGACCCTGTAGACCCTGTACTAAATAAATTAAAAAAAAAAAAAAAAAAGAAAAAAATTCCAGCATTCTGATATGTATCCACTTTGTGTGGAACCATGGTGCAAAGCATAGCTGGCTGCTTTTTTAAAAGCTTGTGTAGTCATGAGTCTTCCCAACTCCAAAGTACCAATATAGGAAACATACTATGATACCAGAAAAAACAAAAAAAAAATGTGGCAATACCAGAAAAAAAAAAAATGTGGCAGCCAATCCACAGACCAGCCAGCAACCTACAATACCAGAGAAAGGATGGGCTGAGTAAGTAAGCCCAAAATATGTCAAGGACAAGCTGCAGAAAGATCAGAAGTGACAGTGACACTGGAGTAAGTCAAAACCAACAGGGCTCACATTCCCACACCTTTTCTGTTCAAGAACTAGGCACTGAATCCCATGGCCCAGTTACATCTTCAGCCCTTTTTGCTGTTTAATTTGAGACAAGGTCTCGCTAACCCACTAAGAAGTTACAATAAATAAATAAATAAATAAATAAATAAATAAATAAATGTTACCCATCCTAAGCCTGAGTCTGGGATCTTTCTGCCTCAGCCTCCCTCAGTGCTGGGATGAGAGCTGACCTGGCTAACAGTCTTGTATCTGCTATTCCTTAGCTATATAACCCAGGCAGGCTACATAACCTTCCTAAATTTAAACTGTTGAGCTTCCATAATTTGTTTTTTTTTTTTTTTGGCGGAACCGGGGATTGAACTCAGGCCCTTGCACTTGCCAGGCAAGCGCTTATTCTACTGAGCCATCTCCCCGGTCCCGAGCTTCCATAATTTGAAATCTGAATATTTCAAAATATAAAACTTGTGGAGCACTAATATGACACCACAAATGGAAAATTCCATATCTGTCCCCACGTGAGAGGTCACAGTCCTAAGGAGGTATATTAAAGACAATGTATAAAATTACACTCAGAGGGCTGGCCAGATAGCTCAGCAGATTGAAGTGCCTGCTTAGGCAGACGCAAAGGCCAGGGTTTGATCCTTGGCCTGCCATGCCAGCCATGTCCCTGGGCATGCTGAGATGGCAACTGAGACTGCACCTGCCTGTAATCCCGCTGCTTGGGAGGCTGAAAACAGGAGGATCACTAGGAATCCGATCTGTGTAGGGACCCTGTACTAAATACATAAAAATAAATAAATAAAATTACATTCAGGCTATGAGTACTAGGTATAAGTGAAACAAATAAAATTCCATGTTTGACTTGGGTCCTTTCTACAAAATACTGGGTTCTAGGTATTCTAGGTAAATAATATTGAACCTATTATTTTTTAAATGTATTTGGTTGTTGAAGGGTCTCACTATGTAGCTCAGACTCGCAGTGATCCTCCTGCTTTCAGCCTCCTCAGCTCTGGGATTACAGGCATGTGCCACTACAGGCCCAGACTCTGGCCAGTTCAGCCTGCCCTGAGGGCCAGAATCGAACCAGGGTCCCTGCATTTGCCCAAGCACATGCTTTAGTCTGCTGAGCTATCTCGCCGGCCCTGAACCTATTCCTGATTTTAGAAAAATTTCTTCTGTATTTTAGGGACAGGTCTACAGGGTGTTCAGGGTCTCACTACTAGATCAGACTCATGGTGATTCTCCTGTTTACAGCCTCCCAAGTGCCGGGATTACAGGAGTGTGCCACCATGCCCAGTCTCAACTGCCCACTCAGCGCGCCCCGGGGGCAGGGCCAGGGATGGAATTTATTTCACTCAGCTATTTGGCTGGCCCTGAAAAGCTTC